TTTTTGGTACAAAATTTAGTACATTTTCGTACTTTTCGGATAGTTATAGTTCGAATTTCCTTGGTACATCTATCCTACACTCCATCAACGACCACCAATCCAAATTTCAGAAGAATTATTTTTATATGATCTTTTTTGTTTTTCTCCTAAAGAACAACAACAACAAAATGTCGTTTCCATATAAGGCGACTGGTGTGAATTTCATTTCTAAAAGCAAATCGTTTCAAATCTTTTAAGGAAATTTCAAATAAAAATGTTTGTTGTTGTTGTTTTAATAACTAAATACAGTTGTCGTGTTTTCGATATGTTTTCAATTTCATTTTGGGTGCTGCTGCATGTCCGCTGAAATAACACTTCCTACAAAAAATTTCGTTCATTGTGTGTAAATTTATACAAAAAATAACAATAACAACAACATAAAAATAAAAAAAACAACAAAACCAAACACTACAAACAAAAAACCATTAGAGGTGGTCTTACCTTTTCGGTACGTACGAGATATCCAACATTGAGGTTGAATTTTTAAATGTGTCTGTTATACGTCCAATAGACGCCATCCTGAAATCAAAAAAAAAAAATTATAAACAAAAAAACAACAACATTAATAACATATAATTTAAAATACAACAATAACAAAAATGTTTTAAATAATTTAGTTAAATATTTTCCAGATTTTTTCTATAGATACTTATATACATCCTTTCTATAGGGTATGAATATCCCCCAGATCGATGAGGACTATTTTTTCTATAGAAGATAATTCTTCAGTACCGCTGAGGACTTTATTCTATAGGAAAAAATCCTTCAATTGAATACTCTGTGTTCTATAGAAAAATATCACAGTATGCAAGAGTACTCTTTTACCAGAGAAACAGATTTCTGAGGACTCTATTTTTTATAAGAAAAAATTCCTCAAACCCATAGGATACTCTTTTTTTCTATAGAAAAAAATTCCTCTGAACCGCTGAAGACTCTTAAAAAAAGCATAGGACACTGTCGATTCTTTTCCTAGAGAAAAAAATTCTTAGGACTCTTTTTTTCTATAAACAAAAAACATCAGTTCTCAGAGACTCTTCTTCAGTCCCCTGAGGACTCTTTCTGAATACGTTCTAATCCTAATACAGTTCTTTTATATAGTAAATAATTTCTCAGTCCATCCCTAGTCCTCAGTGAACTATTAACTCATAGGTTTTCATAAAATAATTCCCAGTATTTTTTTTTACAAAAATCCCATTATTTTCGTATAAATTTCTTAGTACTTTCTCTTTGAAAATGTATGCATTATATATTTCGAAGAAAAACTTCCCAGTATTTTCTTGATAAAATTTCCAGTATTTTCGGAACAAAAACATCAAGTATTTTTTTGTTAAACCCATAATTTTTCTTAATAGAAAAAATAGGTCAGTGAACTATAAGTGTCAAGATTTCATATCCATATACAAACATACCAGTATTTTCGTAAAAATTTCTAAGTACTTTCTTACTGAAAATGTATGTATTGTATTTTACGAAGAAAAAAATTCCCAGTATTTTCTCTATAAAAATCCCAGTATTGTCGGAACAAGAACTCCCAGTATTTTTTTTAAATCTCTCATTTTTCTTAATAGAAAAAAATAGGTCAGCGAACTATAAGTGACAAGATTTCATAAAAGTATTTTTCTAGTATTTTCTTACAGAAATCCCAGTATTTTCCTTTCTTATAAAAATACCAGTATTTTCGTAAAAAAATTCTAAGCAATTTCTTACTAAAAATATATGTATTGTATTTAACGAAGAAAAAAAAAAATCCCAGTATTTTCTCTATAAAAATCCCAGAAACAAAAACAAACGAAAAAAACTCCCAATTTTTTAAAATCCCTAATTGTTCTTAATAGAAAAATGGGTCAGCGAACTATAAGTGTCAAGATTTCATAAAATTATTCCCAGGTTTTTTCTAGAAATCCCATTAATAAAAATTCACAGTATTTTTTACATTTTTAAATTTTTTTATTAAAAAATAGAACCAGTAAATTTTAAAAATCACGATTTCATAAACAAATTCACAGTATTTTTTAATCTCTAATTTTTTAATAGAAAAATAGACCAGTATATTTTAAGAGTCAGGATTTCATAAAAGTTCTCTTATAAAAATACCAGTATTTTCGAAAAAAATCTATGTAATTTCTTACTTAAAATATGTTTTGTATTTTTCGAAGAAAAAACGTCCAGTATTTTCTGCTTTAAAAATCCCGGAATTTTCAGACTACAAATTCCCAGTATTTATTTTTTTTTATATCTTTAATTTTTTTAATAGAAAAGTAGTATATATTGTTATTTTTTGAACACCTAATACAAGAAACGATATATGCACATAGGGTAGAATTTTCCCCACCTCCCCCTAATACCTCATCTCAAATACACAATATGACAACATGGTCGGATCTTGTGTTCGCCAGACATAATTGTGACATAGAAAAAAAATAGGTCAGCGAACTATAAGTGTGAAGATTTCATAAAATTATTCTCAGTATTTTCTTACAAAAATTCCCAGTATTTTCCTATAAAAAATCCCAGTATTTTCGTAAAAATTTCTAAGTACTTTCTTACTAAAAAATTTGAGTATTGTATTTTTTGAAGGAAAAAATCCCATTATTTTTTGCTAAAAAAAATCCCGGTATTTTCCCAGTATTTCTTGAAATCACTATTTTTTAATAGATAATTAGTATATTTATATTTCTTGAACGCCCAATACAAGAAACGAGACATGCACTTATGGTACAACTTACCCTCTCCCCCCAAATACCACAAAAACACAATATGACAGAATTTTGGCAACCTCATCGGAACAAGTGTTCGCCAGACAATTTTAGTAAACGAACGACAAATGTTTTATGTCAAAATATTTTTGCTTTTCTAAATTGCAGACAAAGTGTTCTCATTTCCTAAAGGGTTTGTCTGTCTACTAAGAGGGTCTAGAATTTCAAATGGTCCCCCTAAAATTAAGATGTGTGCCAATGGAAATTGATCTGGTCTGTGGAACACACCTCCATTTCGTTGAGGGCCGATTGTCTGGTGAAAATAGAAAAAAAAGGAAAACAACAACAAAAAAAGCATTTTCACCTTTGTACTCCAGTCATGGCCCTGCAAGTGTTCACACCCACATTTTTGTATCACCCACAGATTCGATTACCGCCTGTGATGATATTGTTGTTGTTGTTTTTGTTATTGTCGTTAGTTGTCTTGTCACACTAATTCATCCGTTAGTCAATGCATACAAATTAGAGCACCCACCGCTAGTCAAACAGACCGCAATGTCAATTTGTGGTGACGCAATTTTTTCGTTAGAATATCGCCTCTCGTTTGTCTACACCACATCTAAGGGGGAGAAGGGAAGGGGCTGACCTGTAAATGCTATGACAGATCGTCAAGCAGCTATGTTGAAATACTTCCATGCCTGCCTGCCTACTTTTGTTTACTGGGGCAAAGTGAATTTTGCGGTTTTACGTCTTCTCAGAATTCATCATCAAATCCAAATGCGGTTCGGTTCGGTTGGCTGTCATGATCTGCTGGAACCTCTTATTGAGTAAGAGGAGCAGTCATTATTATTAAGGAGAGGTTTTAGCAGTTGTTGTTATTGTTGGTGGCTTTTAATTTACAACTAATGTGTAACAAGTTGTTGACAGTTAATTTGTTGCCAATAAAATGCCGGCACAAACAGTAGCAGCAGCAGTGGTGTCACATGGAGTGCCGTAATTTTTTTTAAGTTTTTTCTCATTTTATTTGTGTTATGTCAAACATGTTGCTTCACTTTTTTTGAAGAACTTTGCGGTATCTCTAAGGTTTCTCACCACATTTGCATGTTGATCAACTTTGGTGACATGAATTTTTGACAGGTTTCTTTGCAAAATTTTGTGGGTTGAACCCAAAAAAGGGCAAAGGTATTCGGAACATGAAATGGTGTCGCCAAAAATATTAAAAAAGAAATAAACGGAGATCAGAACTGAGGTTGAGGACCCTGAGGGTTTTTTTTTCTATAGAAAAACATTCCTCAGTTCTCTGAGGATTGTTTTTTCTACAGAACAAAATATCCTCAGTTCTCTGAGGACTATCTTTTCAATAGAAAAAAATCCTCATGACTCTTTTTTCTTAAAAAAATGCCTCAGGAGCCTGAGGACTCTTTTTTCTATAGAAAATAATTTCTCAGGAGCCTGAGGACTCTTTTTTCTATAGAAAATAATTCCTCAGGAGACTGAGGACTCTTTTTTCTATAGAAAAAAATTCCTCAGGAGCCTGAGGAATCTTTTTTCTATAGAAAAAAATTCCTCAGGACCCTGAGGACTCTTTTTTCTATAGAAAAAAATTCCTCAGGACCCTGAGGACTCTTTTTTCTATAGAAAAAAATTCCTCAGGACCCTGAGGACTCTTTTTTCTATAGAAAAAAATTCCTCAGGACCCTGAGGACTCTTTTTTCTATAGAAAAAAATTCCTCAGGACGCTGAGGACTCTTTTTTCTATAGAAAAAAAATCCTCAGGACACTGAGGACTCTTTTTTCTATAGAGAAAAATTCCTCAGACCCTGAGGACTCTTTTTTCTATAGAAAAAAATTCCTCAGGACCCTGAGGACTCTTTTTTCTATAGAAAAAAATTCCTCAGACCCTGAGGACTCTTTTTTCTATAGAAAAAAATTCCTAATGACCCTGAGGACGATTTTTTTTATAGAAAAATATTCCTCAGGACCCTGAGGACGCTTTTTTTTATAGAAAAAAATAGAAAAAAATTCCTCAGGACCATGAGGACTCTTTTTTCTATAGAAAAAAATTCCTCAGGACCCTGAGGACTCTTTTTTCTATAGAAAAAAATTCCTCAGGACCCTGAGGACTCTTTTTTCTATAGGAAAAAAATATTTCTCGGTGCCTCTGAGGACTCTTTTTTCTTTAGAAATTATAACCTCTATACAAAAATTTTTTTCAAATTATTTTCTATTTCCAAAATAATTCCCCTGTTTAATAATTTCCTTCTCTCTTTCTCCTTCCAGGTATGGTTCTGGTCAACGTATGCCCGCCCAGTCGAACTACGAAGCACCGGCTTGCGTTCAAAATGCCATGAACCGGGACAAGAAACCCTTCACCTACACACCCGGCGGCATTGATCTCTCACAAATCAAATCGGAACGTATGGCCAAGCGTTTGGCACGCAACGCCTGTGCCGAAGGCGCCGCCGGACAATCACAACAGAATCGCCCTGGTGGCGCTGTTCAACAGCCCATCTCGCCAAGTTCACCCGGTTCGGCAGCGGCCGTTATTGGAGCAGCTGGCATGGGTATGCCGTTTCAAGTATTACCACCAACACCACAACCGGGAGCCGGTAAGAATTTAAATGGTGGCTGTGGCCCAGCACCTCCCCCACCACCACCACCAACATCCTTTTCCAACACCAACAACACAACAGCATCACTGGCGCCTCAAATGAACGGTCAAAATGGCGCAGCTCGTGGTAGTTCGCCAAGTTCACCGAACATGCAACGGAAGATACCACCAGCACCGCCATCGCAACGTTTCGAACCACCACCGCTAGGTTTTCGTCCGGAAATTAAGATTCCTCCAAATCCGATGGCGGCATTGCGTAAAGTACCGCCACCGGTTGAGAAGAATACTTTCTGGAAGGATGAATATCTAAAGAATAAGGGTTCGGATGTACCAGCTGCCGCCAGTAGCAATAACAACAATGGCAATAATTACAACAATAACAACAGTAACAGCATGAACTCCCACACAGAAGACAACGACAGCGTTAACAGTTCTAGTAGCACCTCCTCATCGCCGCAACAAACGAATGGTAGTGACCAATTTGCGACCACTACAACAACAACAAACGGTGAAACGAACAACAACAACAACAGCGATACTATTGATGGTGAGAGCATATTGGGAAAGGGCAACAACAAAAATGCTGCTAAAGAATTTAGCCCAATGCAGATTTTTAAAACGAAGAGTTTTGAAATCCAAAAGATGCTTTAATTATGTTTATTTTTATAAATCTTGGTTATGGTTGTTGTCTTTGCTTAAAACTAATCCCGTTATTATTTAAAACTAAATATATTTAGAATGGAGGTTAGGACTGAAGTATTAAAAAAATCGTCATTTAACGAGCAGTGAACGGTTTTATACCAAAATATTTTTTCGGAGTTTTTTTTTAGAAAAAAATACAGGGAAAAAATTCCCAGTATTTTTATTAAATATCTAACCAGGATTTTTATAGATTCCAAAAATTATAAAAATACCGTTATAGAAAAATAGCAGAGTTAGAAAAAAAGTACCAGAAATTTTTGTAAGAAAATATATTGGGAAATTAGAAAAAAATCTTTATAACCTAGAATTACCAAGAATATAACCACTAATTTTTATACAAATCAAGTTTGTTCATTTTCTAGAAAACAATTTCCCACTATTATTGTTTAAATATTTACATTTTATGAACAAATTATTGAGAAATTAAAAAAATACTGGGATTTTTTCCAAACAAAAAAGTTTCAACCATTTTTGAAGTAAAACATTTTCCCAGTATTTTTTATGGATTCCTAAAAATTTAGAAAATATACGGCTATAGAATTCTCTTCTTCAGCGTTTGGTTAGAAACAAATGTTCGATATTTTTTTAGAAAATTTATAGAAATTCTAACAAGTACTGGGAATATTTTTCAATGGAACAAATTTTTCTGTATTCAAAAATAGTTCAGTATTTTTATAGAAACAAGTTTCAACCATTTTTGAAGAAAACAATTTCCCAGTATTTTTATTTCAATATTTAACCCGGATTTATATGGATTCCGGAAAAAATATAGAAAATGTACGTTTATAGAAATCTAAGAGAATCCTTCAGCTATTGGTTGGAAAACATTTTTCAAAAGTTTTTGAAATTAAAAAAAAATACTGGGAATTTTTTTCTAAGGAAAACATTTTTCTATATATAAAATTGTCGCAGTATTTTTTTAGCAACAAGTTTCAACCAATTTTGAAGAAAACAATTTCCCAGTATTTCTTATTTGATGAAAAATTCATAAAAATACTGGGATTTTTTAAGAAAAATAATTTTTATAGACAAAACTGTCTCAGCATTTTTTATAGAAACCAATTTTGAAGAAAGCAATTTCCCAATATTTCTTATTTGTTGAAAAATTCATAAAAATACTGGGATTTTTTGTAAGACAAAATTACTCACTATTTTTTTTTAATTTCAACCAATTTTGAAAAAAAATCCCAGTATTTTTTTTACTTGTTGAAAAATTCATAAAAATACTGGTATTTTTTGTAAGAGAAATAATTTTCTATATGCAAACTTATCCTAGTATTGTTTTTAGAAACAAGTTTCAACCCATTTTAAAGAAAACAATTTCCCAGTATTTCTCATTTGTTGAAAAATTAATACAAATAATGGGATTTTTTCTAAGAAAAACAAATTTCTTAATGTATGGAATTGTCGCAGCCTTTTTATAAAAACAAGTATTTACACTTTTTATAGAAACTAATTTCCCAGTATTTTTTTAAGTCATTATCCTGGATTTTCCGTTGCAGAAGAAATATTTTTATGGAAGACTAGCATAATGCCCCTGTATCCAAATTTAGAAACATATTTTCGATTATTTGCATCTATTACAAAACCCAGTATTTTATAAAAACTGAAGCATTTTTACTGTAGAAAAAAATATATAGTATAGAAAAATCACATATTAGTGTAGAAAATATTCCTAGAAAATCATAGTCCTAAATAATGTTAATAATCAAATTCCCAGTATTTTTTTAAATATCTTAAAAATTTTCAGTTTCTTATTAAAACATTTGGCTAGCAGAAAGATATATTTTTAATTGTTTTTAAAATTCCAGATTTTTTTAACAATCCCAGTATTTTTTATTTTTCCCAAATCTTTTTATAAAACAAAACTCCAATTTTTATTTTGAAATATATCAGAACTGTATCCAGTTTCTAAGGAATTAAAAAAATGATAATCAAATAATGTTTAACGAAGATCAAAGTATTTTTATGAATTCCCAGTATTTATTTTTATACATTTTCATTGAAAAAATTTTCCTGTATTAGTGCAGGAATTAGCCATGGAAATAAATTGGACCTAAAAAACATTAGAAGATTCCCAGTATTTTTTCGAAAGACAAATAAATAATTCCCAGTATTTTTTCGGTATGTGTTTCTATGTTAAAAACATACCCAGTTTCTATAGGCATCTTAGGATTTAACGGGACCAAACTGAAAATTTTAGGACAGTCCCCTGCAGAATGTACCCTATCGACCAACCTGTAGAAAGATTATGTTATTAAACATTATTTTTATTTTTTAATTATTTTTAAAGCTTTATTTTCAGCTACTACTCCTCCACATCATCTCAACCTTCTTATAAGCCTACAATAAAACCAAAAAACAAAAAACTCATCATTTTTATAATCTCATCATAAATTTCGGCGATTTTATTAACTGGTGATGGTGCATATTTATACTTCGACAGAACCTTCAAAAACACACAAAAATATAACTCCTCATTACATCGTATTTTATAAAGACCCTTAGGAATAAGTACTACCCGCCCCTTTATGAAACCCTTCAAAGTTTTTTCAAGACCTACTAATTCCGTTACTCAATTAATTAACCCCTGCTTTTCCTATAAAAATATTTCCATAAAATTTTTAGAAGTCCACTAATCGGTTTTTTATATTTTCTTCAACAATTTTCACTTTTCAAAACCCCCTAGGTTTTAGAAAAACGATGCCCACTACGACGACTACGAACAAATTACAACAATCAGCCAATCAGCAAACGAACAACAACAATAACTTTTCAACGAATACTCAAGACCAACAACAACAACAAGAAGCAATTAAGACGCCCACAATTCCCCAGAAGCCAAGTCAAGAAACGGAAAAATCTCCACAGACTTCAAGTCCCGATACTCAATCCATCCATTCAACCATTTCAAATCGACCCACACCACCCACCTCACCGCATCAGAAACTTTCATCACCCTCGGTGATTAAGCAGATTGAACGTGAGACTGCCGCAACCCCACCCAGCGTGGCCAGTCCCCCGAAATCTGCCACACCCATACAAATACAGACAGAGGTACAACAGCAACAACGTCAACCCTCACCCAAACCCGAATTTCGTAGTGCGGCATCACCACCCCAACCAGCCGCTGTCAATGTTTTCAATCGACAGACAGATAGTCCTCGTTCAGTAGAGAATGTCACACCGCCACGTGTCACCGAGAGCCCCTTTAGGTTGGCCCAGCAACAACAACAGGCAAGGGGTCCAGTGGCCATTTCACCACTGGCCCAACCCCAGCAGACACCATCACCATTGTCTGCTGGACCCTCACCCAGCAGCCAGCCACAGGCCCAGACAGTACCATGGCGCACTCAACGTGGTCAAACACCGCAACAGCAAGGCCCAACACCAACAACAGCCAACACTCAGTCGCATCCCCAACCTTTCTATAATAATGTGCAAGCACAACAACAGCAAAGGGCACCAGATTTCAGCACTCAAACTTCGGCCTATCAGGGGCCAAAGCCGGTAAGTTTTAGAGACCCCAATCTCATTTTCAAAACCTCACTAATTTATTTGTTCGGTTCTCTCCCTCCCCCAGACCAATGTGGGTTCATTGTATATTGCACCCCTGGCTGCCCCCGTTGAGCCCCAGGCCCAACACATTGTTCGCCAACAATTGCAGCAACAGCAACAACAACAGCCCCAACGTGATTCTCCAATGCGTCAAATGGGAGCAACACAGCCACCACAACAACAGCTACGTTGGATGAGCTCACAGCCCAAGCAAACCGAACAGGCACCATGGGCTAGGCCCGAAGAGAATGGCAATGTGATGCCTTCATCATTGAATCGCATCAAGTCGCCACCACCAGCAACAACCTCCTATCAACAACAACAACAAATGCAACCACAACCTTCATACCAACAGCCACCATCTTCGCTGTATCAAACCCAACCATCACAGCCCTACAATCAAGGCAATGGATATGTGGGTCAGCAGCAACCTGCTACACAAAATTTCGGAGCTGTGCATCATGCTCCGGCTGGTTTGCGTTTGCAAATTAATACCAAAGCGATTCAGAATAACAACAACACCACCAGCACCGCTGTTAACCAAAGTGGTCCAAGGGTATTTTTTAATTCCGATTATTTTGAATATTCAAAATTTTAATTGGATTTTTTATTTATAGGAACGCATCATCCCCATACAATTGGAGCAGACCCCAACCTACACACCACCACAACCAAATTTCAATACCACACCAGCTGGCTATAGCGCAGGCACTGGAAGTGAGTACACAAAAAAATAAAATACCAAAAATGTTCGGAGCGTGAAGTTAGGGTCCTGAAGGTCGATTTTCCTATTAAACAAAATCTCACGCCCTCCGAAGTGTTTTGAAGAGGAATGCGGGCCTATAGGTCTGAGGGTTTTTTCCTTATCGTAAAATCAATCATCAGGACTTCGAACATCAAGCTAAGGATTTTTTTCTATAGGAAAAATTCGAGTATTTTTTGTAGGGTAAAATCGATCAGTAACTGAGGATCTTTTTATAAAAAATCGAAACTAGTCCTGGGAAATTTTTCTACGGGGAGAATTGTTCCTCAAGACCTGTCTATTTTTGTCTCTTAGGTACAAATCTATGCTCAGAACCGCAGCAAAAAAAACAGCGCCTAGAGATGGGAAAATTCGATCCTCCTGATCAATCCTAACGGCCTGAAAATTTTTCTATAGGAAAACACACACATGAATTGTTTCTATAGGAGAAATCGACTCACAGTTTTTTACTCAATGTGAAAAAAACACTCCTCAGGAATCCAGAAGTCATTCTATGATAAAAAATGTGTCCACAGGACCTAAAAAATTCTTCTATAGGAAAAAATCGATCCTCAAGACCTAAGGATTTTTTTCTATAAAAAAATTGAACCTTTAGACCTTAGAAATGGATCCTTGGGATTTGGAGATTTTCTTTTAAAGGAAAAACCGATCTTCAGAACCTGATCCTAATCGATCCTCAGGACGTGATCATTACTTCAGCCGAAAAAAGGGTTTCAATACTTGAGAATTGTTTGCCATGGGGAAAGATTAATCTCCAGGACCTGAGGGTTCTGTTTCTGTGGAAAAAATGGACCCTCATATCCTAATTCGATGTGAAAAACAGATCTTCAGAATTTTTTCTTTAGGAAAAAATTGATCCTCAGGAGCTGAAAAATTCTTCAATAAGAAAAAATTAGTCCCTCTGAACCTGGGAAATGGATCCTTAGGACCTGGAGATTTCCTCCTATAGGAAAAATCGACAATCAGAGCTATACAAAACATAGACGTTCAGGACTTGATCGATTTTTTTCTTTAGAATAAATCGATGCTCAGGACGTGATAATTTGTGTAGCGAAATAACAATAATAGATCTCCAAGACTTGACAAAATTGGTCCTCAGGACCTGAGGGTTTTGCTTCTGTAGGTTTTGTTTCAAGTCTTTATTCGATGTTAAAAACGCCCACAAAAAAGGAATCCTTACAATCTCAGGATTTAAGGATTTATCCTTGGGAAAAAAAAAATTTGATGGGAAAATCGATCATCAACATCTTAGCACTTTAATGGGAAAAAGTCGAACCGCAGGATATGAGGTTTCTTGAGGAAAAATCCAATCCTCAAGACCAGAGGACTTTTTCGATGGGGAAAAATCGATCCTCTTTCTTATAAGAGATCAGTACCTAAGGATTTTATCTACAGAAAAAATTAATCATCGGGTTATGAGAACATTTCTCTTTGGAAAATGCTCTCAGGACCTGAGGTGTTTTTTCTTTAGAAAAAAGTTGATCATCAGGACTTGAGAAAAATCGACACTGAGGTCATAATGATTTTTTCCATACGGCTTTTAGATGTTCTTCTACTAAACAAAAATGATCCTCAGGACCTGAGATTGTTTTCTATACTAAAAATCGATCCACAGAACCTGAAATTTTTTTATAAAAATAAAATTTTCCTCAGGACCCGAGGAGTTATTCTATTGGACATATGGACCCTCAAGATATAAGGATATTCTTTGTATTAAAAAAAACTATCCGCAGGACCTGAAGATTGTCAAGTCCTAATTTTTTATAAGAAGTCGATTCTCATGACCTAACGAATTTTTCTATTGGGAATATCGATGCTCAAGATCTAAGGATTTTTTTTTTTTTTTTTTGAAGAAAAAAATATTCCCATGATTTTCTTCCATAGATTCTCAGTACCTGAGGATTTTTTCTATAGGATTTTATTCCTCGAGACATGAGGATTTTTTGGTGGGAGCTAGAAATCGATATAAGGTCTTAAGAATTTATTTCTGAAAGAAAAAATCGATTGCCTTTGGGGTTTTAGAGAAAAATCCTAAGGACCTACATTTCCATATGAAAAAATAGATCCGCAGGACCTAAAGATTTTTGATAGAAAAGAAAACTAGAAAATTGATCGTCCTTACCATTTTTTTTTTCAATAAATTGTCTAAGGTATTTTTTTGTCGATCCAGCGTTGATATATAGAAAAATGGATCCTTAGGGTCATAGGATTTAAAATCGGCCTTGAAAAGACCTTGATCATCAAATATTCTACAACAACTAACCCACTTATTACCTCTTTCCAGCTCCTGGTTATGTTATGCGTACACCAAATCAATTTGTGGATCAGGGTTATAATAATTTCGGTGTGCAAAAAACCCCCGCGCAACGGGTTATGTCGCCACCAATGCAACAACCACAATTAAATGCTCCACGTATGGTTCAGCAGCAACAACAACAAACTGGCAATGCTCGCACCCATATCGTGCCGATTGCCATGGAGGGTAGTGATGGTACCCGAGGACCCATATCCAAGGCACCCATCGTTATACAAAAGTGAGTATTTATTTGAGATTTTCAATTTGTTTCTATTTTAAGGCCTTAAAGCTTTTTTATTACTTTGAAGCTTTTAACTTGTATTACTAATGGCTTTCTATTTTTTTTTATTTTATTGTAAATATGCTGTCCGAAAAATATTTGTATTCCTACTTTACCTATTCCAAGTGGGGATTATAATCTCATAGTACACGACTGTCCACTTGAGGCTGAGATCAGATTTCGAAAAAATCGACTCAGGTAGCAGAACACATATTTTTTCTAAGTTTTTGATATCGAAATTGGCAAAGTGAAGTGTGTGTTCGTGTGTGTGTGTGTGTCCGTTCATTCATTATAAAATCGGAGGTGTGGTAGAATAGTCGTCAGAAGAAGACTCAGATCCTGATGATTTTTTTCATTAGAAAAAACATCAGATTCTGAAAAATCCTCAGGTCCTGAGGATTTTTTCTATATAGAAAAGTCATCCTAAGGACCTGTCGTCCTCAGGATCTGAAGAATTTTTTCTATAAAAAAAAAGTCATCCTCAGAACCTGAGGATTTTTTTTCTATAGAAAAATGTCATCCTCTATAAAAAATCGTCCTCTTGTCTGGAGGTATTTTTTTTAGAAAAAAGATGCCCTAAGGTCCTGAATAATTTTTTAATAGAGAAAATCATCCTCAAATCTTGAGGAATTTTTTTCCTTTAAAAAAATCTTCCTTAGGTTCTAAGTTTTTTATCCTATAGAAAAAAAAATCCCACATTCTTCGATCGAGTCTATATGTATCCGTGCTAATTTCTTGTATTTAAATGTATGTGGACATTCGTCGATTTTTCTTCGTAGAAAACCTAAAATTCCCCCTTCAAAAATAAGTTTTTTTTCGTTGGCTTCTAACAAAAAAAAATGCTTGACTAACCTTTTCTTATTTGTTGTTGGTATTATAAAAAACCTTGCTTTGGGACTTGGAAATCTAATCTTTAATTTCATATTTTCTTTCTTACAACAACAACATTGACATATATCGTCCTAAAAACTCATTCATCCTCATTAAAACGAAAAAACAACTAAACCTTCTTAATTCTAGCGATCTGCGTACACCGCCCGTACAATCGAAATCTTTTAGAATTTTGCAAAAAATCACAGACACTATCGATGATGGCACTAACGATGAGTCAGGACAACAGCAACAACGTAATGATAATTATATGGATGCCGAACCACAGTTACAGCGTCCGACATTTGCCCGGCAGATGAGCGCTCAGCAGGCGCGCAATAGTCCAACTGTTGAGCAAATGCGACGCATGAAAATTGGACAAGAACAAGGTAAGAATGTCAGACGGAGAGAAAACCAGAAAAAAATATAAAAATTGAGAGAGAGGGAAAGAGAGGAACAAATAGAGAGAGAGAGAAATATATGGTTCTATAAATCGAACGAATTGCAAAGACGAACGAAAGCTCTCCACAAAATGCACTAGTTCAAAGGAACTATTCTACAAAAGGAACGATCGGCACTAGTTCCGATTCTTTCGTTCATCAAGTTCATTTTGCCCCAGTCGTTCCATTTTGCTCTAGTTCAACTAGTTCATTTTGAACCAATCGTTCATTGATCGAGTACCAATGAACGATTCAACTGCAAGGAACTATGGAACTAAATAAATGACCTAGTTCCTTTACGTAGTAAAGAGAAAATATTGAACCGCTTCAGGAACGAGATTGCCCAACTATATTACTTTCGTTCGTTTTTTTTTTCGAATTTTGAAAAAAGATTTATACGAATTTTGGTTATTAATGCTCCTAAATGTGTTGGTACTACTGTTTACCTTTCGTTCGAGTTATAAAAACCTTTTCAAATTAGATAAAATTCAATAGTTTAATTTCCCTAGTTTAGTTTGCCTGTTAGTTAGTGAGTTTATATATTTATTAAGTCCATAGTTTAATTTTATAAAACCCTATTTCGTTCTCATTTCATTTCCATAGCTTCTCATTAAAAAAAAAAAATAAGCTTACAGTTCTGTTTTATTGGGAAAGCCTTGGCTGCTAAAAATTACCAAAGTTAATGATGATAAGGTTAAAATAAAACTTAATTTAATGATTTACTAAAAAATAATAATAATTAATATTTAATTAAAACTACTTAACTTAATAAACAACAACACAAATAACAGGACTAAATAAAATAGAAATTAAACATTTTTGGTTGAAAGATTGCAAAATTTAATAAAAATTATTCTTTAAAGTCGATTTTTTACTAATTTCCGATTTTTTTCTCATTTTCAGGTAATACCACACCACAAACGCCTTCTCAATTCAATCAACAGCCACGACCATTTTACAACACCAATAATGGTAATTATACAAATTTCTCTATCTATTGTAGATGTGAATGAATGTATTCTATATTCAAATAGTCATTTAATATAGCCCAAAAATATGTCCAAAGTAGAATCATTCGATTTTCAAAACATCGCTGAGTATCCCTGACTCATACTCTTAAAGACCCCAAACAGATTTTCCCATAAAATATAGCTCTGACAATCCTCGACAAATTATTCCCCAGAAAGAGTGGATAATAACCTGTATGAAATGTCAATAGTGAATCCCTATTGACATTGTATCCAGTACTACTATAAGTTGACCGGCTGTTGACAACTCAATGTTTCATATAGACATTCGAAAGTCGATAGTGAGTCAATAGCGACATTGGGGATAGTGACCATGGATGTAGTTAGTCAATAGAGACTTTGGATGTTCCACAAAAGGTTCCACATAATTACTTCTGAAATATTTTTTCCAATATTTAAAAACAGACTTGTACTTTCTTCGCTCTTTTACACCCTTTTCTGGGTTACAAAATGTGTTATCGTTATCGATAATAATCGTAAAAGATCGATAACATTCTGAAACTGGCACTTAGAACCCTAGCGGCTCTTAATAAAATATTTTGCTTGCTCCTTAGGTCCTTCTAAAAAATTTCAAAGATTTTCTTCAATTCAATAAATATAAGGCCTTATTTATTGTGGGAAACCCTATTTTCTTAAAAATAATGTCATTTATATATCGTACAAAATAATCTGAAGGTCTGCCTTAAAATACTAAGTTTTAGTCCTTTACGAGAGGCTACCTTATTATGATCTCTAAGATTGTAAAATATTCTCAAAGATTGTAAAATATTCTATAAATCGGATATCTGGTGTGGTAATAAATTCAGGATATTGTCATCGATAACTATTTAAATAGTCTCTACGACCAGTAATTTTGTGATCTGTAGGAAAAACCAAAAAAATAAGTAAAAACGTCGTTAAGGTCGGCCTGAACGAAATTTTTATACCCTCCAACATGAGGTTGACATTTCAAAATACCTGAAATTGTTCGGAACCTTCACAAATAGCGGACTATTCCATGGCAAAATTTTAGTAGGAATATTTGACACCCAATGAGAACCAAATTAAACCATATTCGGTTGAAAACGTACCCAAAATTCCAAAAAATGGAGGTCGTTAAGTGTTGGGTTTATCCTAAAAAGTAGATTAGATATGGTCAATTTTTGATGGGGAGATTTGCTACCCAATGGAAATTCAAAGTACAAATTACATCCAATTCGTTTAAAAAAACTTGACCAAGATCCCACAAGTTCCGAATAATGGGGAGCAGTTATATGGAGGTTACCCAGAAATTTGAGTCAATCTTGATATTTTTGGAAGTGAGATTTACTATACAATGAGAACTAAAAATACCAAAATTTCAGCTAATTCGGTGGAAAGTGTGCTTAACATACCAAAAATAACGAATATTGGTCGGTAGCGTCATATGGGGACTATACCAAATTGTGTTCCGATACAAAGTACTAGAAATGTCTGTGCAAAATTTTAGAGCTCTATTTCAAACAATAAATATCTCTATTGTGGTTTCAACAGAAAGCCATCGCTAAGTCGGCACTAATATAACAAGATATTCTGCTCCAATTTAGAAAACTTATTCAGGTCTAGAGAATAAATTTTTGTCAATGAAAAACACCTTTGATATTATATCTCAGGAGATGAGCTTAAATTTTTCAATAGGAAAAATCCTCAGGATCTGATTATTTTTCTAAAGGAACATTTTGTCACAAAAAATCTTCAGGGACAAAGAAATAATTTTTCTATAGAATTTTTCAATAGAAGATATCCTCATTGATTAATTTATCCATAAACAGTCAAAAGGACCTGAGCATAAAAATTAAGGATTTTATTCGGTAATTTATATTACAATCCGAAACTGTTATATCCTTGAAAAGTCATAGGACATGAGCATGAATTTTTCAAGACCTTAGTATGAAACTAGTGTATTGAGAAAATTTATCAGTGCTTGAGGATGCACATTCATCCTCAGGAGTAGTAGATGTTTTCTCATATAAAAATTCTCATTACTGATTTTTCTTCTATAGAAAATATCCTTCGAAATGGAACTTCTACAACTTTATTAAAAAGCCAGTGAGCGAAGAAGGCAATATTTACTTTCTACCGATTTTTATATTGAGCCTGGGCAATATTTCGCTAGAAGACATCTTAAGATATTTTAGTACTTCTCTCATATCCGGCACGAAAACTAAGACATTTTTTCATATAAAAAATGTACTGATGAATATGTGCCTTAAAGTTCTAGAGATGGGAAGATGATACTTCGCAAATCGAAATCGACTCAGAAGATTTAGAATACAAAATATGTATTCAATGCTTTGGATCCATATAATTTGAAACAATAATTAAGTTTTGAGAATATTTCGACCATAACCGAATTTGAATTTTTCCACAAGAATTCAGAATGCAAAATATGTATGCTATGCTTTCGAACCATATAAAATGAAACAACAATTGGGGTTTGCAGCACATTTAAACAAAATAATAATCAAAAAATATTCTCAGAACTGAGAAACAATTTTTCTTAACTTTGTCGGAAATTTTAGAGATCAAAAACTTCATATTGTGATTCTCTTCACAACTATCACCGATCTGTAATTTTCTGTTCCGAGCCTGGTCAATATTTCGTAATATTAATATCTATATATAACCCCTAAAATATTTTAGTATTTCTCCCGAAATGAAATTTTTTCAACAATATAGAATTTTCTTACCTTAGAATTTCCTTATGGGACCAACTCAGAGGATTCCGAATACAAAATATGTATTCTATGCTTTCGATCCATATAAAATGAAACAACAATTAGGATTTGAAACATATTTCTACAAAATAACAATCTAAAGAACATATCGTAACCTAGAAAATAATGTAGCTATCTGCGGATTTATATATATTCGGATTTATACTAACATATATAGACCCCTAAACATATTTTAGTATTTCTCTCATATCGGACCTCTTAAAAGCCCTTAAAAAGTAATTCATTGTTTATATAAAGATGTCCTGATGAATAATATGTCCCTTATAGAAATGTAAAATTAATAGAAAATGCATGGATTTATAGCCTAAGATAATATGTTTCTCTGCAGACGTTTTGGAATTCATCAGATTCTGAGTAATGCATTTCCCAATACTGACAAACTATTGACTTATTTGTGAGGCGAGCCTCTCTAAGAACGTAAGAAACAAAAATCGGTAGGTCTTGAATGCTAATATTTTTTTACATATTTATAATTAATAAAAATCCAATACTTTTTTGAAAACTAGTGGTGTTAAAATATATTTTTTTAATTCCAAAATATATCTCATCGTTAGTAATTCTCCCACGCTCTATAAAATATCTTAATATATAAATGTTGTCTGTATAACGTCTTGAATATAGCCTTAAAAAATTGTTATCCTTCAAATTTTAGATTATATACCACCCAGTGAACAACATGTACCCGAACCGAAAAAATATACCGGTAGCGCTATACCAAGTCGATCATTTAAAATTTTACAAGCCATGACACAGCCAGAAAATGCTGGTAAGTTTTAGAAATCTAAGTCAAAAAAATCAAAGAAATTAAATTAAAAAAAAACATAATTCCTCCAAACACAATTTATCCCATCCTCTTATAAAACCAACAACAATTTTAAATTTAAATTTATAAACATTTTGTAAAATCTATTTTCTTCTATAAAATTTCGTTCACATACCAAAAAAACAAAACACTTTTTCCCCCACCCACCCAATTACATATCAACAACCAACACTCACCAAAAATATTAATTTTGCTCATTTGTAAATATCGCTCATTTTTTCTTCATCATAACTTTTGTCTTATCTTTTCTTTAATTTTTTTAAATCGTTTTATATAATTTATTTACACTTTTTATATATTATTATTTTTATTATTAAATAAGTTTAGGTTAGTTTAGTGTGACAGAGAAGGAGTCAAGACTTCTTGGCCAACTTTCTCACAAAAAGTGAAAATTTCACCTTTTTTTTAAAAGAAATCGATGCAACAAAAAATTTTTCTTTAAGTTTGCTAATTATTTTTATAATTTGAATATATATTTTTTTCTTATTAATTATTAATTTGTTTTCTATATACTATATAATATTAAAATTGATATTTATATCATTTTCATGTTTAGCTCATGCCAACATTTTTATTTTATTTATTTTTTTTCGATTATTAATCCATTTGGGATCGATTTTTATTATTTTTTTAAGTTGTACTAAAAGTTTTACTACAAACAATATCTATGATTTATTTGCATGTTTGTAATTAAATGTTATTTTTATTATTTTAAAAAATAACAATATTATACAGATGGGTTTGACTGAAACCAGCATGGAGAAAAAATCTATTCTGATGTATATTTAAACATAATCAAATTCCAAAAATCGAAAATTACTGATAATAAATTTAAACATTACGGTAGGTACAGTTCTTCGGAGACAGACTAATCTGAAATTAAATATTTTATTTGTCGTGTAGCTAATTAAAAAATTGACAAAGAATAATCTCATTTTCTTATTCGAATTAATATTTTTCTATGAGAAAATCAGAGTTGAACGATTTATCTACAAAATCATACGAAAACTACTTCTCAGAATAAAGAGAAAATTTCAAGACCTAAAAAAATTTATCAGGTCTAGGCCAGAAATACTTTTTTGAGGTCAATAACTGATACTCATGTTTGAATTTTGTGTTTCCCCAAGCTCTGATACTCTGTGGTGAAAATACTCAGGTTTGAAGTTTGTTTTCCTCATGATTCGAGACTGTAATGAAAAAACCACCGAACTGGAATATGAAGAGGAAAATATTTGCGTCACTAGAAAAACCGGAAAATTTAGACCGAATAAATTTGAAACATTTTTGTACAAAATAATATTAGAAATACGTCTCTGGAATATGAAGAGGACAGTATTTGGACCATAAAGACTTTAAAATATTTTCCTAAAGGAACATTTAGACCTCCGATCATCCTCTCACCTTTTAGACCTAACTCAGAGGAGTCAGAATCCTAAATTCGGCATTTGGGTCATAAAGACTTGAAACACATTTTCCTAAAGGAAAATTGTGACCTCCTATCATCCTCTCACCTTTTAGACCTAACTCAGAGGAGTCAGAATCCTAAATTCGGGGGGTTTTTAATTTCAATCACATACTTAGTGATGATCAGTAAGAAAATACACAGAACTGGTATATGAAAAGGGCTGAATTCGAAGTCATAAATACTTGAAATATGCTCCTATGCTTGAAATATGCCCCTAAGGGAAAACGGAGACCTTCGGTCTTAGTCATATATTGTTTGTAATGGAAATCATAAAATGTGTTCGACAATATTTAATTTTCGTCACCATATAGGTCTGGCTCAGAGGAGTCAAAATACAAAATATTTTGTATATACTTTCGATCCATATAAAATGAAATAACAGTTCGGGTTTGTTAAAAGTTGAACGATAAAATATACAAGAAATCATGGGTGTAACTTGGTCCTAACTCAATTGGAATATAGTGATCATATAAAAAAATTGTAGAAAAATCATCCTAAATGGATTAAAAATCAAAACATCGGCTTTCTTCATTCCGATCATAAAAACATACACACATGATGATCCGCATTACCATGTTCACCCACAGTCCTCCACCCACCTTCACAAGATTTCATAGAAACCCATGAAGCCAATTAAATCCTCCCACCTTCACCAAAAATTTCGTATTCGTTTCTTCACACATTTCGCCCATAAAAATTTTCTTTCATTTGTCAAAATTTTGGTATCGTTATCGTATTGTGTCCAAACAACTGATTCATCATCGATTAAAATGTTTCATCATTTTTTCTTTTTTTCTCTCTCTTGTCTCTTTTTCCCCCTCCACTGCGCTGTACAATTATTTTTTCGCACCAAAATAAAAAAAAATCCAAATAAAAACACCACAAACATATATCGAAACAAAATAACACGAAATAAAAAAATGGCGTCAAAAAATGAAATCAATTTTGAAAAAAAATTTAATTAGGTGATCTAGAAGAAAAAAATTCTGTAGAGTGTAACGATAGCAACGGAGAGGTTCATGAAGATTTGAATGATGAGTCCACACAGTCCGATTTTCATATAGAATCTTGTAATACTTCTTCGGCCGAGCCGATTAATTCGACATCTTTGTCATCGTTGGGTTCGGTAGATTCCATTAGCTCAGGTCCTACACCACCACCGACACAAGCTCCGTTAGGTTATGCCCCGTATCCTTATCCCTATGGATATCCCTGGTATCCTCCGCCACCAGCCTGTGATAGTGCTGGTAATCCAATATGGCCATTTGTGCATGCCATGTCCCCTTCACCGGGACCTTCATCACAAAGTGGTAGTGAGTCAGGTGGCAATACCAACCCCAATTGGTATTACCCCTATGCCATGCCACCACCTCCGCCACCGGCCACACCAACACCCAATGGCGAGTCACAGCAAAATCAGCATCCTGGCTATCCACCTTATCCCTATTATTATCCTTATTACCCCATGCCCCCACCACCTCCACCATTCCCCCAAACTCCCTCCAGCTCCACAGAGTTTGAGGGCCAGAATGTGTATGCCCCCTATTTACCACCTCCACCACCCTATCATTCATATCCCTACCCTGTGGCTCCCAGTTATAGTCAATCCTCAGCTTGCTCAAGCAGGGCCAGTTCCGTGTTACCCGACATAATTATTACCCCCAGTACCGATGATGTACCCTCCAAGGTCATAATGCAGCACCACATCAAAATCGAAAAAGAAAAACCTCCAAAACACAGCGATTCTCTGGACATTGAAGATGTGACAAGTGAAAAATCGTTACCCAACAAGCAAGCGGAGGGTTCAATTGTGGATATTTTGACCAAACATTTGCAGAATATGTCTCCCCACCAGCACGGCATGGAAAATAATTTGAATTCTATGCAGAACGCAAAGAAGTCTTATGAGAAATATTTTGAACAAAAATCTCCCGAGGATAATACTTCGCCAGTACACATATCCATGGTTGAGGAGGAATACGAGGAAGAGGATACTGATTCCGAATCCTCAGAATCTTCGGTAGATTCTGATGCCACCACCAAACAATATGACACCCGTATGTGTAAAGAAGGTTCGGTGCCATTACAGGCCATACGCTCAGTGGCCAATATCCAGGTCTATAATAATCTCAAGAATCCTCAACTTGATTTGCAGCAAGATTCGGAAGATTCCGAAGATGATGATGACGATGCGACCACGGCAGATGGTGAAAGTGATGTCTTTGATGAGGACATCGAGGAAATTGAATTCGTCTACGAACACCAGGATGAGGAGCAAGTGGAAGAGGAAATCGAAGAGGAGGTTGAGTTGGAAGACCATGAAGCCGAATCGGAATGTGAAGAATTTATTGTGGAGGATAATCTCAGTGTGATCTATGAGGAAGAAAGTGACTATGAAAAGTCCAGTGATTATGGTAATAAACCCTGCCAGAACCTCAAAGAAATGGAGCCATGTATTGAGGAAGATTCCCAAGAAAGTGAAGGTGAAGAAAAAGCAGCCAGTCCTGAAGAGGAAACAAATTCTGTAACCGTTCGTCTTCCTCTCAAATTTTCATTTGCCAAATTGACCCAGGATGAGACACCCATAACCACCGTGGTGGTTGGCAATTCCTCTGTGGAGGAACCTTCGAAGAGTCAAATCTCCAATGAGAAACCCCCGGCCTTTAGTGTGGCAACTGTGGAAACAGATTCCGATGCGGAAGATGATGAGGATGATGATTCATGTGATGTTAGCGTAACCATTTCCCTACCCAGATCTTCACGTTCTGGATCCATGGATTCGGAACATCGTAATACCTCAGCTAAATATCCCATTGAAGAAATGCCTCTACCCGAAGAAGCCCTACCGAAAATTGAGTCCAGTGAGGAAGATGTTTCCTTCTCTTTATCATTGAATAAGCGCAATAAATTTGTCGGTGAAACATTGGAGGGAGGTGTGACAAATAATATTGCCAAAATTGAGGAGAATAGAGAGGAATCAAAGAAGGCTGAGGAGGAGGAAAAGAAAGTGGAGGATGATCGAAAAATCGATCTAATGAAATCCACATCTAATTTTGATTTCTTTGCCACGCTGATGGCCACCAAAATGCAGGCACAAAAAATTGCCGAACAATCGGCCAACTATTGGGGTAAACCCTCCAGTCAGAATAGCAATGATGAAGTGAAATCGACAGGGGATAACTCCCAAAAGGAGAGATCAAACGGATCAGATGCACAGCAAAATATCGCCACGGAGGACAATAAAGCTAAGAGTGATTTGAAATCCTCACCTCTAACTCCAAACATGGACAATTCTGTAGTTCCCGAATCCAAAACCGAGCACAAAAACCGCACTCTTCAAAATATCGCCACCGAGATAAATAAAATTAAAAATGATTTGGAATCTCAGGACTCGCTTCCCTCCATGTCCACCTCTGAACAAGAAGTTTCCAAAAATTCCACAGAAGAAGAATTAACGAACTCTACAACTGAGTCGAAGTCGAAAAAGGTAACAAAAACTTCTGAAAAGAAAAAGGTGAAGAAACCTAAATCTCCTGAAGGTAAAGATGGAGAGGCTAAGCCTAAAAAGAAAGTTAAGAGTGGGTTGAAATCACAAAAATCCAAGGATAAGATTCCGCCAACCGATAATTCCCAAGAAGTAAAAGTGGAGACCCCTAAGGAACCCGAAATCAAGGATGATCTTAAAGCTCGCACTAGTTTTTGGTTGACAGAGGCAAAGGAAGCTAAGGATGAAGTTCAGCAAAATATCATTAACTCAAATCTTTCTCAGGAAGCCTCTAAAGAAGCCGAAAAAGAGAGGTCCGAAACCCTTAATGTTCCACAAATCAAGGCTCAAAATACCTCCTCAGAGTCAAATATACTTAAGTCTGATTTGAAACCGCAAAACTCTCTCCAAAATACCATCACATCTCAGCCATCCTCTGAAGTTTCCAATAATTCCCAAACCGAAAAGATCCAAGCTGTCAAAGTTCCCGAATTCAAAGATGATCTAAAAGCTCGCACTAGTTTTTGGTCTAAATATTCTACCAACAACAAAACATCGACCACTAAGACTGAGGTAACTCTAGAGACTGCCAACAAATTCTCAACCAGCCTTAAGGAAGAGACTGAAACTTCTTCCTCCACATGGGATAGTAACTCTTCCAAGAATGACTCCCAAACTACGCAGGAAGAAACTGAGACCACAGAAATCGATGACATTTGGGCTGATCGGGATGATGATTTGGTTATACGCCGCAAACCGAAACTTATGTACTGGGATAAATATTCCAAATCATCATCGGGTTATGAAACGGAATCTCAAATGGATAGTAAAATCGAAGAGGAGGAGGTCCCGGAGAAATCGACAGAAATCCAAAAACTTCCAACTTGGAAGTTTTGGAGTCTCCTACAGCTACCCAAGATGATGATATTGAGGATATTTGGGCAGATCGTAATGATGATGATTTGCCGGCGGTTAAAAATCTCTCCAAGAAATTGGATTCTCTGCAAACAGCCAAGGATTCCTTCTGGTCCTCGGTTGCAGAAGCAAATAAGGTTTCTGAGCCTCGTGACAAAGAATCCACAGATTTCTGGTCTCAGTTAAGTGTACCCAAAAAGAAGCCACGACCTGAAACTATCAATGAGATTCTCTATTCTCCCATTGTTCTCAGGCATCGTATTGATGAGCTGGCCAAGGCCTTAAGAGCCACAATGCATACTCAGGAACCAGAGCCTATAGAAACCGAAGAAGCTACACTGAAAAAGGAAGCTCCACACGAAAAAGAAGAAGAGGAAATTGATTTCTGGGCCCAAATTGAGCAAACGCGGCGAAAATCCATTGAAGCAACAGCTTCACTCAGTAATAATGAGAGTGAAGATAAAATTAAGGAGGAACCAAAAGAGCAAACCTTTGATCCTCTCAAATATCCCGAAGAACCACGAGAAGTTGATACAGATGAAGAAATTGATTTCTGGGCTGAAATTGAAGCCAATCGTTTGCCGGATGGTGTTGAGGTTACTTTCGAAAGGGCTGCCTCATTTTGGGCATCACGGGATCGCCGCAACTCTTCCGAAGAAACTCCCGCCAAGCCAGTGCTACCCAAAGCCTTTGCCGCCAAGCTGCCGGATGAACCCGCCAAAGATGAAATTGATATTTGGGCTACCTTAGAGGCCCACAAGGGTGAGGAACCAGAGATTGTAGATCCTCAAATCGAAGAGGAGAAAAAATTGGCTGAGGAATTCCAAGAAATTGCACAAGACCCAGAGGAAGATATTAACAATAGTGTTATGGATTTAGCATCGGTACATGAACCTGTCAAGGCCTCCGTATGGGCTCCCAAAACAACTCAACAACAGGAAGAGGTTGCAACAATCAAAAGCGAAGCCGATGAAGAACCAGATTTTTGGGCTGAAATTGAAAAGAGCCGAAGTACCTCAATGGATAAGGAGGCCGATGATAAATTGGAGACTAAACGTAAAAACTTTAGAAATGCCAAGGCCTTCTTTACAAATTCCGTAGATGAACCCAAGGAAGAAAACAAGGCGCCATTGGAAAATCAAACAGAAAAACCCACAAAGGCGAAGAAGGAAACTGAAAAGAAAGAAGAAGACGAAGAAGGGTCGGAAGAAGGCAAAAAGGTCAAGAAACCTCCCAAAAAAGAAGTCAAGGCCAAGAGTAAAAGTAAATCTCCCAAAGGTAAATCTAAAGAACTTAAGGCTGACAAATCGCCTAGCACAGATTTGCCTGAGGTTTATGTAGAACCCACACTGAAACGTCTATCGAATGGCTTACCCGATTTGGAGGTTACGAAATTCTATGAAGAACGTAAGGTATCGGTGCGCGACCGCATTTCGGTATTTGAGACAAGTAGCAGTACCGAAGCAGCACCCGACTCTCGACGTAATAGTATTAATAATCAAAAATTATCGGTGGATATTAATAGCTCTGCAATGCGACGCAGTTCATTGTCACGCAACAGTTCTAGCCAACGTTCTGAGTCGGAAATGGAAGAAGATGATTCGGGTGTGACAGATATGAACAAACTTTCCGAAACTGAAACAGAATCAGGTAGCTTCCCTGAGTTAAGGAAAATGTCCTCCTATCAAAGAGCTGCAACCCATTCGAGACTCTTCAAATTGCTGCAAGATGACCCTGACACTTTGGAGGATAATAATGGAGAAAATAAAGTGGTTGATGAATTCCAATTCAGGCCCAGTCGTCGTAAGGTGGTGCACAATGTTAGCATCACACGAAAACAAAATCCCAAGGCCTTGGGTGAGGCTGAGAGCATGTCGCAGAGGCGAGAGCGACTCTCATTGCCTTTGCGCAAAAATACCAGTATTGATGCGGATAATCCTTCGACACCCAATAGTCCAGCCTCCCCCATAATGGATCAGCCATCAAGTCAATGTGTGGTCAGTGATCAATTGGTCAGCGAATTGGTGCAAAGTTTGCTGCTGAAAAGTGATAGCACCCATTTGCGTAAATTGCCCATGGAAAAATTACAAGCTGCTGCCAAGCGAGTTTTAGAAGAAGAACTCGATTCTTTGGAGAACACCTCTGTCGATTCGACACCAGCAATGACACCCAATGATACCAAAAATAATAAATCCTATGCTGATTATTATAATACCTGGTCGAATGCTAATCGTCCTTCCGAGGTAGCAGATCCCAGATCTTTGCGGACACTACAAGATAATCGCCGTAGCCCATGGACTGTACGCTGTCCTCGCGTTCTAAGTTCGAAGACAATAAATCGAGATTTGGCACGTGTCACAGAATCACCGGAAATATATATGCGCAGCAGTAAAAGCCCAGAATGTTTTCGACAATCACGAGAAACCTCAGTTAGTCGATGGAAGAAGGCGTAGTTAAGTGAGGCTAAGGGATACCAGGGAATTTGAGAAGCTCTGTAGGATTATAATTTTGGGGAATAAAAACCATGTAGTATGTAGTTGTATATATTACACAGATAAGAGAAATCAGCAAGGGTTTGAAAGGTTTGGAGGAAGTAGAAAAACCGAAGACTTCCTGCTCAAATCTCCTCAAGTCTTTGCCAAGGATTCTAGAGGCATTTAATGCATTTCGTTTTTTTTACATAAAAAAAAACCAATGAAACCTAACGGCTATGTGTTATTGCATTTGCATTGAATTAAATTCAATATTTATATATTTTTTTCGTAGTCATATAAGTCACAAGCATTTTCAAAATCAAGCAAGCGGGCATTGCTTTCAAAAGAAATCAAAATTTTACTCATCTTTCAAAATTCTATGATCGTTCGTTCTATTGTTACACTCACATTTGATTGCCTTCTTCAAAAAAAATAAAAAGAAAAATACACTGAGAAAATAAAAAAAGAATCAACGCCACAACACAAGCACCACCACCTACCAACCAACCTCTACTAGCAACACTTACATAAACTAGCGTCCAACCAAAAATCAAATCAGTAACAGAAAGCATTGTTCGATATTCCCCCAAACAAAAATCAGTCAATTCTCTAAATCTAATTCTTGTTCAAAAACTATTAAAAAGGTACATATAAACAAAAAAACATAAATCAATTCGTTGTATTTATCCAAATTTGTTATTCATTATGATTTTCGTAATTATTTCTATTTTTTGTTTTGCAATATTCTGTTGCCTTTTTTGTAGCTTAATTTTGGCTTTGGAAATATTTACGATAAAATATTTTAAATTTTATATTTACTTCAGACACATGTTTCTCTATCTCGAACAAAAGCTGAAAACAATTTCAGATATTATCTAGACAATATCTGAAATAGTTTTCAGATATTGTACATTTCTAAGAAAAATATTAAAATAGTCGAATAAAGTTCAAGTAGTTCCGGTACGAATATCTGAGTTCATACCCAATTCTTTGTATTCTACTGGAATTTATTCTAATAAAAATATATTAAACTTTCAACATGTAACCCTCTAATTTGGTTCGATATAGTGAAACATGTGAAATAAGAATTGTAGGAATATATTGCCACTTACATATAAGAACCCACCGCCAAAGAGCCTCATGAAGTCCATAAAAATAGACTTTTCATTGATCTTATAGCCCTCATTTGCCCTTCACTATAGGCCGAAAGTACTAACTTCATGCAAAACATAAGTCTTTTGCCTTTAAATCTAATTTCGAAACATACATCTTCATTATATTCATGCATAAATTTCATCTGGAACTACAGACAAATTTAGGACCTGTTTAATAATCTTGAAGATCTGATTAATGGTTATATAAAAATATTTCTTGATTTTTCGTACTTTTTTGCTATATTCCGAAAATTTAAAATTATAATGAAAACAATACCAAAAAGTTTCCAACAATTTTGAAAAAATGATTATATATCTAATCTTTAAGACCACTCGATAATGCTCAATTTTACCAGGGAATATTTATGAAATTTCTGTGGATACATTAAATAAGCCTCCTTATTATATTGCCGAACAGAATATTGTTTAAAAATGTTCAAGACGTAACTAACAACTCTTGAAGTTATATGGAATGCAAAAATCATCTGTTAATAGTCTGGAGATACAGTGAGCAGCAAAAGTCATGGTACCCCATACAAATCAAAAAATATTCAGTAATTCCTCAAAATGTAATTCACAAAATTTCAAATATATATTTTTATTGCGTGTATTCAATCCTATACTACAACAAATTAAAGTAATATTTCATTTTTTTTTTTTAGAACAATGGAGAAAAATAATGAATTATTTAATATTACTTAATTTTTACAATTAAATTGACCTAATATTTGGTAGGATATCCTTTGAGTTTTAAAACTTCATACAAGTTTTTTAGTGGAGTCTGACGACATTTTACCCCATTCTGTCAGAAGTATTTCTTTGAGTTGAGCCTTACTGGAAATTGTATGATTTCGGATTCGTTTGTCTAGATGATTCCATAGGTGCTCAATCGGATTTAAATCGGGGCTCTGTGGAGGTGTTATCAGCATGTGTGGTGTATTGTATATGATCCAATTCTTAACGTCAATAGCAGTGTGTTTTGGATCATTGTCCTGTTGGAAGTAATAATTAGCATGAATGTAGAGTTTTTCAGCACTTTGATTCAAATTTTGTTCGAAAATATTCATGTAAACTGTTTTATTAATTATTTCCTCAATGAATACCAAATTGCCAACACCAACTGTAGACATGCATCCCCTCCACCCCCTCCGTGCTTTACTGTTTTCCGAGTATTCTTGGGTTGAGCTCTTCGCCTTTCCTTTCCGCCCCACCAAAGAGCGTCGACACGCTTCTTTATGTTTGTTTTGTTAACAAGTGTTTTTTTTTTTGCGGGCAGTGCGAGCATTGAATCCACACTTCTTGATGCACCTACGTAATGTGTCTGCTGAAATTGTTTTCCCAAATGATTCTTTTAAGTCTGCTGCGATTTTAGGAGCGCTGGTAAATGGATCTTTGTAAATAATATATTCAATTTTTCGTTCTTCTCTGATGTTGAGCTTCCTGGGCCGGCCTGATCGCGGTTTATTTTTTATCCTATTATTATTTTATTTTATCCCATAAATGATGTGAAATATCTGCTCTGACCAGGGGTACCATGACTTATGCTGTACAAAAATTTGGAGTTGACACGATCTCGATTTTGTTTATGGTTTGTTGGAACAAATAAATGAAACATTACTTTCCATTGTTGTAGTATAGGAGTGAATACATAAAATAAAAATAATTGTTTTAAATTTTGTACATTTTTTTAGTAATAACTGAATATTTATTTATTTGTATGGGGTACCATGACTTTTGCTGCTCACTGTATTTTGTGTGGGTTCCATCTCATGGATTTTCTTAAAAATAAAATAAAGTGAATTTTAATAATTTCTTGAATGAAGTTAATAAAATCTTAATATTTTTAAATTAAAAAAAAAAATCTTAAAAATTTCACGATTGCCTTCGCTACAAAATACAAATCAGAATATTTGAGTTTTAACAAAATATCAACATGGATTTAAAGCCGAGTGTCCATAAGCAAACTATAGATTTGGAATGAAAAATAAGCTCAGAAAATGCATTCAAAATATGAGGGCATCCTTCCATCTAAGACTCGTATATTATAGCACTGATTATCCTTTAGAATATATACCTTAAACTTTCTTGAAGGTTGAATTCATTCGAAACGTAAACCATCACTTCAGAATTTCAAACATCAAAATCACCCTTCTACCAGTCCTCTTTAATTTGGCAAAAAATATATATATAAATCAACTTAATATCATAAAAATTACCTTTCTTTGGAAAGATTCTTCATATTTTTTCAATCATTAATTAAATTCCGTTCGAAACAATATTTTCTCTAGTTTATATCTCATTTCTCATCGTATTCCCGATAAAATATAAAATATTCATGATTATTCACAATTCACATTAATGCTTATCTGCAAATTTTAAAACTTTTGCGGTTTCTGCTACCATTAGAAATTCTACTCGATAAAGAAAGGACAAAATGAAAACTTTGATATAACAAAGATCAATTAACAAAACATAAAATAAAAATTTTATTTAAATATAATTTAATTCTTAAAATATAATTGGCAAATAAAAATTCTAACCCAGCTAAATGAGGTTTGTATAAAAATAAAATATTTTATCGTAAATATTTCTGGTAGTGTTTGATAAAAATATGATAAATTTGCTTACTTGTATTAATTCGAAAAAAATGAAATGTAGTCAATGGAGAGTAAACTCCACCTTTGGCTTAAAATAAAAACAAATATTTAGAAAATTAAATTGAAATAAAAATTTAAAAAAATATATTTCCAAAAATTATAAAAATAATTATAAGCAAACTAAGAAATTGTAAAAAAAGTCGTTCTATTTTGTTTTCTTTTTCTTCATTAACATGTTTATTTTGTGTGTGGTTCATTTAAAGCATTTCCTTTATAAATGTTTTCGTTTTTTTTTTAATTTTTTGATTAATCCTTTGAATCCTATTTTTGTTGTTTAAAAACAAACTTACATTAACACTTCCAAAGTTTTACCCTCACTCAAACAAAAAAAAATAAAATAAGAAACGAATGGCTTTTAACAAAAAGAAGTTTATAATTTCTTACAAAACAAAAAAAATATTTCGAAAAAATATTTTTATAAGTTCAAAATCGAAAGAAGTTGCAAAAAAACCAAAGCAATTTTCAACTGCATAAACAAACAAAAAAGGTGAAGTTTTCTCTCTCTTGAAGTCTCTGTAGAAAGCCTTAGTATTTGTTATAATTATTTTAAGTTTTTTTTATTTTTAATTGGTTGCATGGCTCGTGGCTTTTATGAAACGAAATTATATAGCTTTCGTTTCAACTGCGCTTTTGTGTGTCCTAATGTCTTTGAATCCCCCACCAAACTAAAGTCCATTGTGTACAAAAAATTAAAATCTAATGTAAACCATTAGCCCGCTTTCAAGCCGGCTTTTTTTAAATGTGTCAATCAAAATTATATATAACTAAAGAGATGTAAGGAATGATAAGTAAGAATTCTAGATAAGTAATACTATAACTTATTTTAAATGCAGTTTTAATATTTTTGGAAAAATGACTACATTCATGTGCTATGACATCTCATTTCTCTTCATTGGAAACCCATCGAGCCCAAAAAATAATTGTGGCTTAAGGCAGATTTTATATTCCAATGGGAGAAGAAAGACTGCAAAGATTTCTAATGCTTGAGATCCAAAATCCCAAAAAAGTTCCACCAAAATTGGTAGAAAAAATTTACTAAAAAGAGGCCACAAACTATTGCTATTACTGCCTCATTCTATTACTCAACACTTTCCAAGAAAATAGGAATATAACAATTTGGTTGTTGAGCGCCAAATTAAGGGAATCTATTTTCCTTCCGAAAAGATAACACCTTAATTATTTTTAAAAA